CCTTACTTATTCAAATTAAAGAAATATTATGGTATAGATTACTCACTGAATAAATCTATTCACATTATTTTATTTTCTTGTAGATGATCACCATCGAATACATTGACTTTACCTTAGGTGAATGGATGACTTCAGAAGATGGCCGATATTGCATATATGTCAAGAAAGTCCACACATGGATGACATATCCAGAATTTTCGGGTTTCCATCACTTTGTGGGATCCCGTTACTATGTTGATTATTTCGAGGCTACTACTATAACATACTTATTTTTAAATGATTTTCTTGGAGAAATAATGTGTCCCGTGGTCTTTGATATATAGTATAAATATTAGTACAAATCGGTTGGTTATGATAGTAAGATATGGTGCGTAGTGTGACTTTTGCGTAGTGCAATTTTTGTGTGGTGAAAACTTTTGTAATGCAACTTTTGTATATCTACTAGCCTCTAATATACTTTTTGCAATGTAACCAAGTATATAAAAAAAAATTTGAACTATCTTATATTTATTGTTGCTTGCCTACTTCATACTCTACAAATAACCAAAAGTCTTCTCTCTTCACAAAGTATACAAAATTTTGAAATCTTTATACATAAAGTAAAATGAATATATTGGGATTGTGACAGAAATTCTAGGCTCGGGCTCGGCTCGGGTAAAATATTCGAGCTTTTTTCGGGACTGAGCCGGGCTAAGCAAAAGCTCGGCAAAAAAAAATTAGGCTCCATCCGAGCTTTCGGCTAGGACCGGCTCGGGTTTTGTTTGATTTTGGAATTTTTTTTTTATTATATAATGGCAGCAACCTGCTGCCTTAAATGGTAGCTTAACCTGTTGCCCTATTTCTGGCAGCAGCACGCTGTCTTTTATTTTTTATTTTTTTAAACATATGCTCCGAGCCAACGAGCCACACAGGTCAGCTCAGGCTTTGCTCGGTACCTGAAAAATGGGGCTCGGCCCGAGCCTCGAGTCGGGTGGGCTTGAGCTTTTTTCGAGCTGAGCCGACAATCCCGATTGCCATCCCTAGGTTGTGATGAGTTGAAGGGTGGCAAGCTAAATGGTGACACTAACGCCTGAACAGTTTGGGTCATCAAGGACAATGCTAGGCAATCTTGGAAGGGAAGGCAAATCTGTTGTTTTAGTCGCAGGGTGGATACGGGTGGAAATTTAACCTCTCATTTGGCTCCCATCATTTTAAATTTTAATAGTTCAAATATTATTTTTTTAGAGAATAGATGGTTGAAAAAGAAGAAAATTTTTTGATTTACGTGTCATATTATTTTATAGAAGATTGTGTGATTAACAATTCGATAGAGAAAAAAATTTAATTAAATGGGGACAGAAGAAATGGCAACCGTTACATTACAACTTACAATAGAAAACAACTCGTGTCCACTAACAAAATGCGTCCCATCAAGCATTTGTCCATCTCTGTATTGAAGAGTGTCATTTGTCACACCCTCAAGTCGTTGAAAGCAACACACATTAACTGAAAATTGTTCAAAACTACACATTATTTATTCAGTGAATGAGTTAAATTCACTAATGGCCAGCCAATCTTATACTCAGTGTCATTGTGGATATTCAATTTGATTTTTGTTTCATCGTGACCATCCAATTTTATACTTAGCATTATCATGGCAACTCAATTTGATTTTATTTCACATAGCCACCTAATTTAATATAATATTTTATCATAGCCACCCAATTTCATATAAAATTTTATCATGATCATCCAACTTCTTTTCACCATTTTTACTATTTTTAAAAAAGATAAAATGGTAACTTTACATTATATATATAAAATAAATTTTAAAAAAAAGGTTTTTTAAAAAAATAAGTGTTTATTTTATTTTATTTTTCGAAGTAACCTTTTTTAAAATAATTTTTTATTTTATTTTAAAAACGTTTATTTTCAAATAAATTTTTATTTTATTTAATTTTTTCAGTAATGCTTTTTTTTTATAATAATTTTTTATTTTATTTTATTTTTCTAAGTAACTCTTTCTAAAATAAGTTTTTATTTTATTTTAAAAACATTTATTTTCAAATAAATTTTTATTTTATTTAATTTTTTTAAGGAATTCTTTTTTATTAAATAACTTTTTATTTTATTTTATTTTTTAATTAACCTTTTTTTTTTAAATAAGTTCTATTTTATTATTTTTTTAAGTGACATTTTTTTAAAATAAGTTTTATTTTATTTTATAAGCAAAGTTACTATTATACCCTTTTTAAAATTAGTAAAAAGGGTGAAAAACGTTTAGTGGCGATAGTGAAATGTTATATGAAATTGGGTAGTCGTAGTGAGACTTTATATGAAATTGGGTGGCCATTTTAAAATAAAATCAAATTTGGTGGCCATGGAGACACTAAGTATAAAGTTGGGTGGTTATGGTGAAACAAAATTGAATTAAGTGGCTATGATATGTACAAAGTTGAGTCATTAGTGGATTTAACCCTTGAGTGAATACGTTTAGATTGTCAAAGTCTCATGTGGGTAGGTAACAAATCAATGTTACGGATATTCTAACAAGCGAACAATCAAAATTATTTGTGGGAAAAGAAAGTTAAACTCCCATAATCATGGCGATGAACCAAAACTTGGGAAATAGCAATCACGAGAGCGAGGATTTTGAAGGAAATATGTCAAATAATACCGACGTAGAATGATTAGTCAAAATTTAAAGATGCAATCTCACAAAATTAAATTTAATAGAAACTTGAAGTTTTTGGACCTACAACCCAAGCACTTGATGATAACAGTACTTACGTGAAAAGAGAATGAGAAAAATGAAGTCATCATATATAATGCACAACTTTTAAAATAATAATTTTTGCACATACTTATATAAATAAATAAATTCTCACGTTGTGGATGCAATTACAAATCAATATCTTGTTTGCTTGGCAATGCATGAAATTTTATGTGCATTTAATAAATAAGATTATGACCAACTTATATAGAATACTTGATAATATTTTTTTATAAAATTCCTGATGAATTTAACACAATTGAAACATATAGTTCAAATTTTTGGTAAACTTTGTTAAATGAATGCACAAAGATAATTTATGTTAGGTTTTAATTTGTATTGACTATTTTTTAGAAAAATGATTATTATAAAAGAGTTATAGAAGTCAACGAGTCTTTTGGGATGTTGTATAGATGAATTGGGAGTCTTTAGGTTCAAGTATGAAACATGGAGAAAGACTCATCAGAATTATACTAGCCTTCGTCAATTTGATGCTTGAGCATCCAAAATAGAATTATTGTCGCCTACTTGTCGCTCGAGTGACTTTTTTCTTTGAGAAACCTTAGTTTGCAATTTTCAAGAGTTCTATATATCATATACTACTCCAATGCCTCTATACTATAAATATACAACACCCACTTTGTGAAAATGGGGTTTGATCGTTATATTCTACCTTCATAATATCTTTGGAGATTAAACAACAATTCTACACATTGAGATCAATCAACTACAAACTGGGAAAAATATCAAAATCATATTATCTAAAACACACACTTCCTAAATATAATCAGGAAAGTACGTTCTCAATAACTTTTAGGGATTGTTGAAGATTGAAGGATGTTGGATCAGACGCACAGGAAGAATACAAGAACGAGGTGTTCTGAGTTATCTACAATAGATAGATAGACAATTTCAGAAAATCGGGAGCAAGTGTGAGTAAAACACGTTCCAACGGATCTTGAAGATTGCAGAAATTAGATCAATAAGTCTAGTGGAGATCATATGTTAAGTTCTATTGCCTATACTGGAAGTCATTGGTTTTATCCCGTGAAGGATTTTCTTGGTCAACAAATTTTGTGCTATTTACAGCTTTATTTATTATTGTGGCAATTCAACATAGGATAAAATTGACTTGATTGACGAAACATCTTGAACAATTAAAAGATGACTTGTTGCTTTTAATTGGTAATTTTAATTCCATGCTATTCATCTATTTACCCCTTCTAAATGATTTTAGGGTCGAACTAATAACTTTCAATTTACAAAATAGAGTTCTGAAGTATGATTATTTTAGTGAGTGTATCTTGAAATAGAGTGAAACTATATGCCTATTCGTTTATTTATATATAAATATTTGAATTTGTCATTATTGTAGTATAAGTAGATGATTTAAATATTGTTGAACTCTTGAAGAATTTTCAAATTACGTAAAAAAGAATTTCATGATAAAAGTGTGATAAAATAAAATTTTATCTCGACTTGCATATCAAGCATTTAGCCAATTGAATTCTTATTTATTGTCGACTTATATAAGAACGATCTTGACAAAGTGACAATATTTTGCATGAAAAAATGACTCTTTCATTCGACACTCAATGGTTCTTTATTCACTTAAAGTGGAAAGAAGATAAATTTTTTTTTTCGAGATGATAATATTTTGATTTTGAAATACTATATCTTAGTGCTATAGATGCATATATATTGTATATTGCTAATAGTTCAAAATTTGAGACTAGTTTTTATGATACAAGATATTATTTGATCCACATAAAACTCACCAACCAGTTGATAGACACACATAGGGATATAATGACGATTTACGTGGCGGAGTTCATAAAACCATCATCTAATGCAATACTTGAGAAATTGATAAATAAGATATCAAACCATGAGGGGGTAAATACGGATGCAGTCTTTTTTTCAGTAATCAATATTTTTGTCTCGTTCGGTGCATTCTCTCTTTATTGTTGTGTATGATTTCTCCCATCAAGTACTGCTTGGTAGGCAGGGGCGGACCCACTTGAGGCCAAGTGGGGTCAGCCACCCCCACTTGATTTTCAAATTTTTGATTTTTCTTGAGACTTTTTCAGGTTTTCAGGATTTTTTCTATGATTTTTTGGTTTCGCCCCTTAAATTTTTTGGTTTCACCCCCACTGAATTTTCATCCTGGATCCGCCCCTACTGGTAGGTATAAAGACTTTTGAATAATTTTTGCTAATATCTCATACATATACTTTTCAATCCATGATCAAATTGGAAATAAAAATATAAATAATTAAAAGGGTACAAATTTAACACTCACATCTGACATATAAATACATTCTAAGGAGTAGAACAAAAATCTGAACTGTACAAGGCTGTAATGAACAAGATTTTTTAAAGATTATTTTTAGTACTATAGAGCGCGGTCGAATTCTCCTAACGAAACTTGTCGATCTTTACATCATGCGTAGAAGTAACGAGTTGGACGCCCTATAACTCCATTACGACAAACCTCTAGATCCCGGGACATGTATCCACTGCAATTGGAGCTCTATTTCACCACACTCAACATTTCTGAGTCTGAGAAACATTTGCTGGATTACTTCACCATTTTCCCACTTAATACAACTCTCTTCTGATAGACAATTTTCCCGGTTTGGTTTTACTTTGCAAATTACGGTTCCACTTGGAATATTATGCAGTCTCATCTTTACAGCTTCTATAAATTCTTTAGTGTCGAATTCAGCATCTCCCATTTTGTCATCTAAACTGAATTTGTCTTTGTCATAAACTTGCTGCAATCACATTGATTAACAGATATATTACCATAAAAATTGCAAGACTATTATTGAATTATCAATACAAATCATAGTTATTAGGATCGGCTCGGCTCGTTTTGGTCATAGACTCGGTCAAAGCACATGGTTAAAGGATAATTGGTTCAACCGTCAGTTGCTGGCTCAATCGGGGTCTTTTTGGGGTTGAAATTTTATTTCAAAAATTAATTTTAAAAAAAAGAAGAAGAAGAAGACATAATATTCATAAGCATTTGTATGATATCATAATTCTAATGTTATAAAATTTGGACCGGACCGAAGTGGAGTTGAGAGTTTAGTCTGAAAACCTACCAACCAGTCACAAGTCCGGTCCGATTAAGGGGGTATTCACAGACAAATTTAGGCTGATCATTCTCAAATGTGAATTTCATCCATGTATACCAATCGATTGGACTTGAAACTGGTTGGCCGATTTTCGGACTGAAGCAATCAGACCGGGTTTAATAACACTGATTCGAATACCCAAAAATTGTTTTTTTTTCCCTGTAATAAACCTTAATTATTTTATCGATCATTTTAACGATCCTTAATTAATCTACAAGACTGCAATAACCCTAACTCCAAACGTTCATACATCAATTATACTCACCAACTTGATTGGAAGATTAGGGTCATCAATAGATAGGGTTAGTTGGTCATTCCATTCAGGGTTGACATTCCTTTTCACCACACGAGTCTTTAATTTCTGTTCCAAAAATTATAATTTCAATTGCATAAGATTAACAAAATTGAACTAAACTGAATTGAACGTGCACAAGTTATCTTTGTAAGTATTATGCCCTAGGTCCAATCAACTTTGGATATAAATACTTTTATATATAATTAATGCAATTAAATGACAGATCTATTATTTAATTAATAGACAATTAAATAAATAATAGAGTCCGTAGATTTAAATCTTCGTAATTTGTTAATCACAAGGAGTTGTGATTGTGAGATACAAATTACATCTGATTGAATCTTAAATCCCGTGGTCGTAAGTAATAACGAGATACGGATATCGTTATTACGGATAGACCATCAAGTGTCGCATTTCTTACTTGTGAAGTAAGTAGCTGATCTCACAAATTAAAGTGTGGTGACACTTAAATGAACACGTGGATATTTTTGTTATAGAACAAAACATTGGAGACCCGTCGAGAGATTCCACATGGATAACTATTTGAGTGTCAGTGGTTAATCTCTAACGTTCGGTAGTGGAATTGATCCTTTGACTTGAGGTCGTCATAGTACCTTATATGAGGATAGTCATATTTTGGCGGTGTTGGATGTTGCTCTGAAAAGGGCCGCTAATACGATATCGTTCGGGTATGTCAAGAATCGTATGAAGGTTGTGATTGATCAATAAAGGATTCGTCACTCTTAGATAGTAGGAGATTATGATCTGCGTTTCATTCAATTAAGTCAATGATGAAATCCTTGGCCAAGGTGTACTCATAAGTCGAAAAGGAGTTTTCGATTTATATTGACTTAATAGTGGAGTGAAAGATATGATCGATGATCGAGATTGACACAACTCCATATCTCGTAATTGATCGGATCATATTGACGAAGGGATTATAGTTTCACGGTAAACGAACGAATTTGATTTTGTCATACCACGTGACATTTCCCGTCACATGTATTGCCCTGATACATTGTTAGATGTCAATCAGGGACGACGAATGTGAATTGACGATAAATTAAAAGGGTGTTTTAATTTATCAATTTTGATTAGATCAAAATAATATTTCACGTCGTTAGGTATTATGGTCGGGAACCTAATGGGTCACACACAAAAGAGAATTGGAAGATTGCAAAATTTCCAATTGGTTAATTTAACAATCGTTGGATAAATTAATTAATTGGATTTGTTATTTATATTTTCGAATTAATTAATTGGATTAATTAATTCACGGATCGGGTTTAATTAATTGGATTAATTAATTATTGGACCGGACTGGACCGAGCCTGTTTGGGTTTATATAAATACATAACTAGGGTTTGAGGTCCATAAGGTTTTCATTATTCTTGCTGGCACAAGAGAAAACCCTAGAGGCTGCAATCATATTCTCTGTGTGGATCACCGTTGGAGGCTGGACAATTGGACAGCTGTGGTGGCGAATCAAAGTTGTGGAACGAAAAGAAAAGCAAAAGGATTGCAGATCTGGAAAAGGTACAATCTTATCACAATTTCTATCTAAACACAAAGGCGATTCTTGGTGGGAATCGAAAATTATTTTTAAATTTCGCTGTGCATGTATAAGTAGATTCCCAACAATCTTGAAAGAGAGTACCTGTTTTCCCATCCTAAGAATCACGTAAGGATCGCTGCTTGTAGTGTCTCTTATAGCAAGGTCGATACCTCTTATGACATTGACTCTTAGCAAACCGAACAAATTTTCCATCTCCACTGGTTAAAAACAATAGCAGCAAGCACTTTATTTAACAGGCAAACAAATGAAAATCAAGAAAAGTTGGAGTTGAGTGTGTCTTCATATGTGTGTGAGAGAGAGAGAGAGAGATTGAAGATTATTCGAGTTTTGGCTATGGCTTCTACCTTGTAACACAAAATTGAGGCGATATTTTATTGTAATGAAAGTCAAATATATAAATAATTTGGCAATTATAAACTGCCGGCTTTAGACGTTGTATAAGTCAATTCCAGAAGGGTACTGTTGACCTGGCTAGCTGGTGATTATGAAGAAGATAATTGCCTCGTAGATTATGTAAGCTTAACAGAGACTCGAATAACGGGTCATAAATAAAGAGTAAGGATTAATTCTAAATGATAGGTGAGTTAAATGATTTATTTAATACCACGTTAATGTCATCTAGATTGGGACTGTAATTCCAGTTTAAATAGCGCTAAATGATAAGTTGAATGAAATGTGAAATTAAATGAATTTCAGCTATTATTTAATGTCACATTAACGTTACCTAGATTGGGGTTGTAATCCCAGTAAGAGCTAAATAACATTACACTTACTAATATCCTCATTTAACAATTATTAAAATGAGCATTTTTTTTTTTTGGAAAATAAGTTTTGAGATAGTTAGAGTGTGTTTGGTTTGTTGTTTTCAAGCTGTTTTCAGTTTTCAACTTTATAAAACACTGAACATATCTTTGGTCTGATATTTCTAAAAATGCAATTTAAAAAACAATGATAAATTTATAATATAAAACTCAAAACACATTTTTGATGTTTTGAGTGTTTTCGGTAAAAATTTTGAAAACACTCAAAATATGGAAAAATAGCATTTAAATAAAAAAAAATTCAAATAAAATTTTAAAAATAAAAATATAAAATTCTAACAAATAATATTTTAAAAATTATAAAAAATTAAAATTCAAAAAATAAAATTGATAAATTCTAAAAATAAAATCCAAAATTAAAAAAATTAAATTAAATTTCTGAAAAAAATAAATTATAATACTAGAAAAATAATTCTAGCTCTTAATAATCATTTACTAAAAAATTCAAAAAAATTTAAATGATCACAAATAAAAATATTTTAAATCCACATCATTAGTTTTTATTTTTTTCTATATTTTGAAATTAATTTATTATTCAATATTTTAATTTTTTAGCGTAAAAGTGTATAAAATCCACCAACTTTAAAATGCATAAAGTACTTGATAATATATTAACATAAATTTTTCAATTTTTACTAACCAATCAAATTTAATGTAATATAAAAAAATTTCAAAATTTTAAACTAAACGTGTTTTTTAGTTTTATGTTTTTAAGAAATAACTTTTCAAAATGACAAATCAAACGTGTTTTCAAAAAATTTTAAATAGTCCCTTAAAATGGAAAATAGAAAATGAACTCAAAACTCAGAATTGAAAATTGAAACGTAAACCAAAAGGGCCCTTATTTTTGCAGAATGTGCGTTTAAAAAGTAGGAACAAGTTTTGAGTTTACGTGCAAAATATTTTATTCTGAGAATATATGACTAAAAATAAGTTTGAGGGAAAAAATTTATTTTAATGGTTGCCATCTTTACTCACTTTGGTGATAGAGTCATCATTAAGGAACTTCTCGTTGATTCTTTTCACATACGTTGTGGTTGTAGGTATTTTTAAAATTGCCATACTCAATACCACTCAGCAATTTTGATAATGTCTCTCAACATTATTAAGCCCCTGTTTGAATTGCATTTTTTTTTAAAGTATTTAAAAAAAATAATTCATTTCCAATCACATATTTTTTTATAAAATAATATTACAAGTAAATTTAATTTTTATTTTTTATTTTTTAACCACACATTCTTCTAAAATTCAATATTTCAAAACATATATTTTTTCCCCAAAATCTCGTTTTAATGGAGGCTATATTGAATTTAAATTTTGTATTGTCTCGTCTTCCTGTTTTTAAATATAGTTTACATTTTATTTTAAATTATAATTTTTAAATCTAACTTCTTGGTGGGTCATCTTCTCATCTCTTTTTATAGCAAGTCAATATTTTCTTTGGATAAGCTTACAAGGAAATGAATTTACTTAGGATTAAATTTTTAAATTTATATATCTGAATATGATGTGAGTGAAAGGAATTATTTATTTTGATATTAAAAGATTATCATCAAAGTAACATTGTGGTGGCGATCAAGTCACATGGATAATGAAGTAATGGTAATCAAATCACCTAGAAGAGAGTTTTTCTCGTTGGCAAAGTTGTGAAGTGATCAAGCCAAGTTCTATTGTCAATTTTATAAGAAGATTGAAGATAGTAGTACAAAAAAGTCGAATTTCAAGCTCAGAGTTGAAGAGCTATAAATTTGGTTCTATCTAATATAATTAAATGAGGAATGATAGCACCTGCTGATAAAAGGTTGCAACGATAAGTATTCATAGTTCATACGTGTGGTAATTGGAAAATTTTGGACTTAGATGAAATTGTTGTAGTTAACCCAAATTTATTAAATAAAAGAATTTATTATGAATACAAAAATAGATTTCTTGTTTTTCAAAAAATAAAAGTATCGTATTATAAAGTCTTTTCCTTTATGTGTTAATACATTCATGTTACAAGTTGACATAAAATAAATGTCATATTCTCATTTTTATGTCACTTGTCTGTAACTCATTTTGAATTAAAAACTTGTTTGGCTAGGATTAAATCCCGGCCAAACAAGAGGGCGCCCCTAACCACGCCTTCAATAGGGGGCGCCACGTGGACGTCTTGTTTTTTGGTTGGAATTTGACCTTGGCCAAACAGCACGGCTCCATTTTGATTTCGGTGATGAGTGGGCATGGACTACCTTTCTTCTTGAATTTTGAATCTACAGTTTGCGGATGACTGACACTTGTTTTTTCCGAAACAGCTTATTTTAGGAATTTTCTTAATCCAAAGAACTTAATTTTGTTTTACAGTGAGAGATTCTCATTGGTTTACCAAACTGAGTTCACGTGGTCTTTACCAGTAAAATTCCTTTCTTATAGACAATAATAATCAAATCAGCTCACATAAATCAAGTCTACAATTCCTTAGATGTTTACGGGTCGAATTATTTTAATTCATATTCCGGATATGTATGTCAAAAATTATTTCCATTGTCATGCCTTCCCTTCTACTCGACTTCATTCATAGCTTGGTCGATCCACTCGTAAGAACAAATAACGACGTAATTTATAGCTTAGTCAGTTCACTCGTAAGGTTGAACAATGACATAATATATAATAGTTTGCATACTCAAAGAAGATCACCCCTTCTTAAATGTGAGGAAAGACTGATGATTCAATTTCAAAGGAAGTGACGGGCGCGAACCTGGATAGGACGATGCTTCGTTCCACATGTTAAGAAATATAGGATTATTTATTATTTATTAAGGGTAGAATAGTCCTTTTTAGTTTCCTTTGTTTAGTTTATATATATTCTCTTTGTATTTCTGCAATCTGGTATTTCTGTAATCTGTTTTTTTTTTATTATGGCTACTGAAAGAGACGATTCCCTTCAGTCTGTGAGTGTGAGGTTAGATGGAAAGAATTATTCGTATTGGAGTTATGTGATGAGAAATTTTCTTAAGGGTAAAAAGATGTGGGGATTCATTAGTGGAACTTCTGTGAAACCTGAGAATACCAATGAGGGTTATGCTGCTTTGATAGATGCCTGGGAATCAAACAATTCAAAAATTATTACTTGGATTAACAACTCCGTGGAGCATTCCATAGGTAGAGAGTTGGCGAAGTATGAGACATCAAAGGAGGTTTGGGATCATCTGCAAAGATTATCCACTCAGTCAAATTTTGCAAAGCAGTATCAATTGGAGAATGATATACGAGCTCTTCATCAGAATAATATGAGTATTCAGGAGTTTTATTCTGCTATGACAGATCTTTGGGATCAATTGACCCTTACAGAATCGACAGAATTAAAGGCATGTGCTGCCTATATTACTCATAGAGAGCAGCAACGGTTGGTGCAATTTTTAATGGCACTTCGCAGTGATTTTGAAGGACTCAGAGGTTCAATTTTGCATCGTTCTCCAATTCCTTCTGTTGACTCAGTTGTCAGCGAGTTATTGGCTGAAGAAATACGTATGGGATCAATTGACCCTTACAGAATCGACAGAATTAAAGGCATGTGCTGCCTATATTACTCATAGAGAGCAGCAACGGTTGGTGTAATTTTTAATGGCACTTCGCAGTGATTTTGAAGGACTCAGAGGTTCAATTTTGCATCGTTCTCCACTTCCTTCTGTTGACTCAGTTGTCAGCGAGTTATTGGCTGAAGAAATACGTCTTAAGTCTTATGCTGAAAATGGAATTATTTCTGCTTCTAAGCCTTCTGTATTAGCAGTGTCTTCTAAGCCATCCTCTAATAATCAAAATAAACCTTACACAAGGGTTGCCTTTGACGAGTATAGTTTCTGTAAGCATAAAGGTCATTGGAAGGCTCAGTGTCCTAAGTTGAGACAGTCGAATCAATTACAGCAGCAATCTCAAGTTTGGAAGCCTGGCAACCAATCACGATCTAATGCTCATAGACCACCACAATCTAATACCGCAGCAGTAGCTTCATCAGGTCCTATCACTGATCCTAGTACTTTGGTTGAGCAATTTCAGAAGTTTCTCTCCTTACAACCTCAAGCTATGTCTGCTTCTTCCATAGGTCAGTTGCCTCATAGTTCTTCAGTTATGTCACATTCTGTATGGGTCTTGGATTCTGGAGCTTCACATCATATGTCTCCAGATTCTTCGTCTTTTGCTTCTGTGTCCCCTTCGTCTTCTATTGCTGTCATGACTGCTGATGGCACTTCTATGCCATTAGCAGGTGTTGGTTCTGTTGTCACACCTCACTTGTCCCTCCCTAATGTTTATCATATTTCGAAACTCACATTAAATCTTGCTTCTGTTGGTCAGTTATGTGATTCTGGTAATTTAGTCACATTTTCCTCTTCTTCTTGTTATGTGTAGGATCTGCAGTCTCAGAAGCTGATTGGGACAGGCCGTAGGAAGGGTGGACTATATATTTTGGATGAGCTAAAAGTGCCAGTTGCTGCTGCCGCTACTAGTGTTGATTTGTCTTCGTTTCGTTTGAGTCCTTCTTCTTCTAGTTTTTATTTATGGCATTCTCGTCTAGGTCATGTTTCGTCGTCTCGTTTCAGATTTTTAGCTTCTACAGGGGCTTTAGGAGATTTTCACCCTTGTGATATTTCTGATTGTAGTGGATGCAAACTGGCAAAATTTTCAGCTTTACCTTTTAATTGAAGTATTTCTGTTTCTTCTTCTCAATTTGATTGGATTCATTCTGATATATGGAGGCCTTCTCCTGTTGCCACAAAAGGAGGGTCTCGATATTATGTTTCTTTTATTGATGATCACACTCGTTATTGTTGGGTTTATTTAATGAAACATCGTTCTGAATTTTTTGTGATATGCTTAGCCTTTCGTGCTCTTGTTAAAACTCAACATTCTACTGTTATCAAATGTTTTAGGTGTGATTTAGGTGGGGAATACACTTCTAATAAATTTTGTGAGCTGCTTGCTTTAGATGAAACTATTCACCAAACTTCGTGTACAGATACTCCTGAGCAAAATGGTGTTGCTGAAAGAAAACATAGGCACATTGTTGAAACTGCTCGTTCTCTCTTGTTGTCTACATCTGTCCCTAGTGTGTTTTTGGGTGAAGCTGTTCTTACTACTGTAGGTTTGATTAATACAATTCCATCTTCTCATATTTCAGGATTTTCTCCTTTCGAAAAGTTGTATGGGTATACCCCTGATTATTCTCTCTTTAGAGTTTTCGGTTGTACTTGTTTCGTTCTTCGTCCTCATGTAGAACGTAACAAGTTGTCATCTCGATCTGCAATTTGTGTCTTTCTTGGTTATGGTGAAGGTAAAAAGGGGTATCGTTGTTTTGATCCAATAACTCGAAAATTTTATGTGTCTCGTCATGTTGTTTTTCTCGAGCATATACTTTTCTTTTCTATTCCATCCACTACTCATAGTCTGACTAGATCTAATCTTATTCGTATAGATCCTTTTTCTGACAATCCTGATAGTTTGTCTTCTCAGGAGCCTACTACTTCAAATGTCCATTCTCATGTTCCTATCCCGTTGTCTTTACAACCAACTCGTACTAATCATTCCGCAGGTACTGACACTTTACTCTCCGGCACACCTAAAACGTCCTCTTCTCCTACGGTTCCTCAAGTTCCGTCTGAGATTGTGGATCAGCCTCTACGTCAATCCATACGCATTCGTAAGTCTACAAAGTTACCAGATTTTGCTTATTCTTGTTATTCTTTATCCTTTTCTACATTTTTAGCTTCTATTCATTGTCTCTCTGAGCCCTCTTCCTATAAAGAGGCAATTCTTGATCCTCTTTGGCAGCAAGTTATGGATGAGGAACTTTCTACTTTGCATAAGACTGGTACTTGGGACTTGGTTCCTTTACCTTCTGGTAAGAGTGTTGTTGGTTGTCGTTGGGTGTATAAGATCAAGACTAATTCTGATGGGTCAATTGAGCGATACAAAGCTAGGTTGGTTGCAAAGGGATACTCTCAACAGTATGGTATGGATTATGAGGAAACATTTGCTCCTGTTGCAAAAATGACTACTATTCGTACTCTTATTGCAGTAGCTTGGTTCGTTAGTGGCGTATCTCTCAACTTGATGTTAAAATTGCCTTCCTGAATGGAGATCTTCAAGAAGAGGTTTATATGGCACCTCCTCCTGGTGTTTCACATGATTCTGGGTATGTTTGCAAGCTCAAGAAAGCGTTGTATGGTCTCAAACAAGCACCTCATGCTTGGTTTGAGAAATTTTCTATTGTGATCTCTTCCCTTGGATTTGTTTCTAGTAGTCATGATTCTACTCTTTTTGTTAAGAGCACTGATGCAGGTCGTATCATTCTATCTTTATATGTTGATGACATGATTATTACTGGTGATGATATTGATGGTATTTCAGTTTTGAAGACAGAGTTAGCTAGATAGTTTGAAATGAAAGATTTGGGTTCTCTACGATATTTCTTGGATATTGAGGTAGCCTTCTTACCCAGAGGTTATCTTCTTTCTCAGTCGAAATATGTTGCAGATATTCTTGAGCAGGCAAGACTTACTGATAATAAGATTGTTGATACTCCAATTGAGGTTAACGCGAAGTATTCTTCTTCTGACGGTTTACCTTTGTCAGATCCTACTTTATACCGTATTATTGTTGGGAGCTTGGTATATCTCACTATTACTCGTCCAGATATTGCATATGCTGTTCATATTGTTAGTCAGTTTGTTGCTTCTTCCACTACAGTTCATTGGGTAGCTGTTCTTCGCATTTTGCGATATCTTCGGGGTACAGTCTTTCAGAGTCTGTTACTTCCATCCACCTCCTCCTTGGAGCTGCGTGCATACTCTGATGCTGATCATGGCAGTGATCCCACAGATCGCAAGTCTGTTACTGACTTCTGTATCTTTTTGGGTGATTCTCTTATTTCTTGGAAAAGCAAGAAACAATCTATTGTTTGTCAATCTTCCACCGAAGCAGAATATCGTGCTATGACATCTACTACTAAAGAGATTGTTTGGTTACGTTGGTTACTTGCAGATATGAGAGTTTTTCTTTCTCATCTCACTCCTATGTATTGCGACAACCAAGGTTCTATTCAGATTGCTCACAACTCGATTTTTCATGAACGAACTAAGCACATTGAGATCGATTGTCATCTTACTCGTCATCATCTCAAGCATGGCACAATTACTTTGCCCTTTGTTTCTTCTTCTTTACAGCTTGCAGATTTTTTTACCAAGTCGCATTCTATTTCTCGTTTTCGTTTTCTAGTTGGCAAACTCTCGATGCTTGCAGTTGCCGCATCGTGAGTTTGAGGGGAGATGTTAAGAAATATAGGATTATTTATTATTTATTAAGGGTAGAATAGTCCTTTTTAGTTTCCTTTGTTTAGCCTATATATATTCTCTTTGTATTTAGGTTAAACCATCTTTTAGCATTCAATTAATTAATGTAGTATCAATGAAACCTTAGCCTCCTCCTTTTTTTTTGATTGGATTGTTTAACACCACAATTCTAGAGAAATAAAGATTTAGCGCACAATTTTATTCTTTTTTATTTACGTATTTCGTTAACTCAACTATCTGGTAAAGATAGGGTTATTGTACATTTCTTTCTAATATTTTTGAAATTTTTTAAATGAGTTATTGAAAACCCTAGTTGTTTGTTAATATCAAAAAGAGAAATCAAAAGAAATTAATAAGGAAGCATTTAATTGAACTTCTAAGTTTTAATTAATGAAAAATAAGAAGCCCCTGTTTGTTAGAAATTTTCCTAAAACTTAGTTTTCTACGAACTCAATTTTAATTATATTCTTTCGATAAAATAATTTGATACGTGAATTCATAACTTTTCCTTACTTTTTAATAACAAATTCTTTAAAAAAAATAATTATCACACAATCTATTCTTAAAAAAACTGTATCAAACATGCTTGAAAAATGTCATTGAATGAAGCTCGATAAGCATGCAAATTAAAGCTTTTTTATTTTGTTTCAAATAAGGTGCTAATAAGAACATGCTAGATGTCTGCATTCTCTGTAAGCTGAAAAAATTACCTTTTAATTCATCTCTGCTCCTATATTATATATTTGAAATCATACAAACCTAATTGTCTTTTAAGTTCTAACAGTGTACTTCTCTCGCTCTCTCAGAAACTGCCGGGTAAAATGGTAAGAGAAAAGATTGTGGTTTGAAGAATCGACTACTCAAAAATAGGCAAGTGAATAATTTCTTCCTTAAATGTAACTTTTCATTGACACAAACAGATGCAGCAAAAGGTAATTAATTTCTTTAGAAGCGGCTGAATATGTTGGGTGGTCTTGGGTTTATTTCATCCCAAAAGATAACTCAAGAGGTGAGGCTTTCCCTCACATTTATAAAATGAATATCAACCACATCCACAATCGATGTGGACCAACCTCAACAATCTCTCCCTCACATATCTGTCTTTGCAGGAGACCAAATACGTCTTCCCCTCATACAATGAGGCCTACGAGAGACCAAACCCGTCTCTCCCTTACACAAGCCCGTATCTTCGTGACTGTTGGGCTTGAGGTTTGTTGATAAACCAGACTTTGATACCAGTGTTGGATAGTCTTGGACTTCTCTCACCCCAAAAGCTAGCTCGAGAGGTGAAGTTTTCCCTCACACTTATAAAGTGAATATCAACTCCATCCACAATCAATGTAGGACAACCCCAACAGAATAAACTCGTGTGTTACTTTTTGTTATGCATGTGAAACTTTCTTTATGTTTGACATGATTAGTGCACTTCCTCAATACTTGAATGATCTGCAAATCGATAATGTTACATAAATATAATGGTTGACATAATCTTTAACATAATGATACATGACAACTTATCATTGAATTGTTTAAAACACAGTTAACTTTTTCATCTAATCACATCATGACAACACATATTCTATCATTCTCTCAAGTCACTCGAGCATTCCTCTATGCAAATATTATAGATATAGACGTTCCTTTCTAGCTTTTTTTGTTCATAGTCATTATCATTATAGATGACACTCACAAAGATTTGAATGCAGAAGCAGTAATCAAAATGACAACCATTTTTTTTTTCTTTTGTTCAAATTATTTGGGACGGCTATGGTTTTTTATTATCTTATACTAAGAAAAAAAGGGTTAGTAAGACGATGCCATGCTATATGCATATATGATATATTCGTTCTATTTTCTAGTATTTTAAGTATAATACTTCCATGAAATATCACAAAACTTTCCACTATATATACGTAAATTTGGTTACACTCTTTATAAGATATAAGGTCTGTTAGGTGGAATTTTTGAGCTCGTGAGCTCACGAGCCGGCTCCGGCAAAGCCCGTGTCCCCAAAATGGGGCTCGACCCTAGCCTAAACCGAGCCTCGAGCCGAGCCGGCTCGGGCTTTTCCCGAGCCGAGCCACGGGCGGCCCGAGCCGACGAGCCCGTTTGCCATCCCTAGTCTGTTAGGTGGAATTTTTGAAAAAAATAAATAAATAAATAAAAATAAATATTGCCCTTGAGATTAAAAAATTACTTTTGAAAGTATTTTGTATGGCTAAAAGAGTTTTAAGATGAAATTGACTTAGAGTAAATTCATGGGCGGATTAATGGTGCGCTGCACTTGGTTGCAGCCCATCGTTGCCCAGGTCCAAATGCACTACAAAAAAAAAAATAAAAAAAAATAAAAAATATATAATTGTCTAAATTGTAATCTATTAGCCCACATTAGCCTAGAAACAATTAATTTCAATGGACTAGTCCACCTCAAATTTTTTTTGTTTTAATCTTTAGCTCAATTATTTGTATCAATAGATAATACCTATTATCCCATTTCTTCTTCCTATTCTTATTCACGACTTCACGTATAATCCTCTATTCCCAATTGAAATGATTCCCAAAAATAAAATCCCTAAATCTTTTCACCTTCACCCTTGCCCGTAGCCACCAAACCACTTAGTGTCGTCTCACCATCTGCGACTCTGCCGACTTGGGTTAGGGACTTAGAATAAGTAATTTATTAATTTTCATCCAACTAGCAACTATCCAATAAAACAAAACATTGGTATAGATAAAGAATATTAAGTTGGATTTTTCTTATATTATGAATTTTTCTTATTATATATAAATTTTATTCGTACATTAAATTTTAAAAAAAATTTGCCCCCTATAACATTAAGTCCTGGCTCTGCCCCTGAGTAGATTCCTCATAAAACTCTTTTGCCAGAATTAGAAGAATTGTAAAACGAACCCTTAACAATCTTAAGGAGGGTATGGATCATATAAGGCATTAATGACATACTTGATACGTTGAATTAAATATGATTAAACCCGATAAAAAATATATTTGTACGTATATTTTTTTGTTAAATCCATTTCAACGTACCAAAATATGCCTTGAACAATAGGAAATTGGTGATAATAAGAAAGTCGAATGACACATTCAAGCTGTTGAAATAACAAAACTTTTATCTTCAATAATTTCAATTATATGCGGTATTAATTCTTTACCTGAATTTGCGATTGTCTAACAAAGTTTGCTGATCATAAGAAAAAGTAAAGTATCGATCTAACCTAAGGACATTGAAAGGAAAAATTCAAATAACGATTTCCAAAGTTTTAATGCTTGTTCTAAAAGGCACGGACAATGCGTGATGCGTGGCTAAAAGGCCTTATTTAGCAGTCAACAGTAACTGTTGACTGTTAATGTGTGTCTAGGCACGGTTATGCGCACCTAGGCGTGCATAATTATAAATTTTTAATTTTAAAATTTTTTTTTTACAATTCTTTTAAATTAAAACATAAATGTTGATTTTTTTTTAATTTCGTCGATTCTAAATTTAAAATAGTCGCTTGAAATCTTGAACAAATAAAATCTCTCAAAAATTCCTATTTATTTACTATTTAATATTTACATTTGAAACTTATCTTTTTATTGAAAACTTTGAAAAAATATATAATTTTTTTATTAATTTGTTTCAGATATTTGTATGTATTATTTTTAATTATTAAACTATTTTTTGATTGATTAAAAATTAAAATAATATTAAAATAAGAAAACGCATTTTTACACTTTTTTATGCCTATGCCTCATCGAAACTCCTCTAGCTCATAGCTTGGCCTCCATACACCGCTACATATTACGTTTTTTAGAACACTGATTTTAATTATTAAAAATTGGATGTACGGTTGGCATCCAAGGAAAGAGCACAAGCAGAAATTCAAATTTAAACACATCTTTGAGAATATTTGGCTTAAAAAGTTTACTTATAATGTTATATTTTCTTGTAAGCAGTGACATAAAAGTTGCTTTCGAAATACGTAATTTTACTACTAAATAATAAGAAAAATACAGTTTATTCAAAAATTATTGCCCAAAAAAAAAAAAAAAAAAAGGTAGAAAAAATTTTTGCCAAAAAAAAAAAAAAAAAAAAAAGGTAGTTCTAAAGGAACTCTTATTCCATTTTTAAGCTTGAGCCAGAATTGCTCATGTATGATTATTTATGGATCCATTTAGAGTGACTTTTGATAACTTAAAATAAGTTTTTGAAATTCAAAAGTTGCTTTTACACCATTTAATTAAGTTTATAAAATTGTCACTTTTAATTAGAAGAGTTTTTAAGAGGAAATTGGCACCATACGACTTTATCTTAAAGTTACATATATTAGAAATTAGTTTTCAAACACTAATTAAAGTAATTTTCTCTTAAAAGTAAAACTCTCCTACAAAAAGCAAAAATCCTTGCCAAACGGGCTCTATGCAAGTGAAGATATTCCAAAATGTAGCTAAATGGATGTTTTCAATTAAAGGATTAAAAGATTACTTTTAAGTGCAACCAAAATAAAGTGTCAATACAATGACTTACATAACTCGACACTTGTTCTGCTTAAGATCCCTATATGTCAAAGTGTAGAGATTCAACCGTTACTTGTAATCATGTCCTAAATAATTCCATTATAAGATAGTTCGTTTATCTTTAGTAATACAATATAGTTGAGATATTAATAAGAAAAATGGAAAGCAACCATAAAGGCAGTTGTTCAAAGGTGGAGCCACAAAATTATGTTTAGGTGGCTGATCTAAAAGAGTCGTACAGATTTTTTGAAAGCAAATACTTTGTGTAGCACCGTTGACAGATGGGAAAACATATATATATATATATATATATATAAAGGGGGGCCAAACACGTTAGCGTCTATTTTGTTAAAAATTTTCAGTACTTGGAGCTTTATTAAGGAAAAGAAGGATTTTTTATTTTATTTTTTTAAGGTGATGTTGGAACATGAGTTGCTTGGCCTGTTTTTACGAAAAATTAAAAATATATTTAGGATAGTACGAATTAGTCTTTTTACACCCAATTAATAGTATTTTGGATGGTTTTTACTAAAAAAAAAAAAAATGTTGAGGAGTTCAATTTCTAAAAAAATGATTGAGGTAAAAAGTGCCCAAGGTGATATTGATTTGAGGGGGGACTGCATAATATAGTCTTCAATTTAAATCAACCAATTTAAAGCTAGAAGCATTTTTAGATTCAGATTGAATTAGTTGTGTTGACGATAGAAGGTTTGTTACTTGATATCGTGTCTTAATTTATTGATAAGAATTTCGTTAAGTAGTGTTGTGATTTTGTCACTTTGACAGAAAATTTGTAACAGATGTAGTGAGAGATCTCAGTTTGCAACAGGATGAAAAGTTAATTGTGGTAACATCAAGCAATAAATGATGGATCATTCTTCACGTACAGAAACAATGGATACAGATCACCTACAGAACATAAATACAGGCAGGGTGGGTAGTTTTTTTTTCAATATAAAACTCACATGAGGCCCGAAAAGTTGATTGTGGTAACATCAAGCAATAAATGATGGATCATTCTTCACGCACAGAAACAAAGGATACAGATCACCTACAGAACATAAATACAAGCAGGGTGGGTAATTTTTTTTTTCAATATAAAACTCACATGAGGCCTACCCCATGTGAGTTTTTTGGTTTTGTTCTGTGAATGAACAGTTCTGGTAAACCAGAATTATCCATAAATGATTGCAAAACCCAGTGCTGCTTGTCAGAATACGAAACACTAGCACATGCAGCCACCGACATTTTAGTATTTTACGGCATCAAAATTTATTCAATGAATTGCATGTCCTTAACCTCTTCTCCAGTCATGTGGAGTGATTACTATGGTTTTATTATGAATTTGAGGATTTAATCGATTTTTAGGGTCTTAACAAGATAATATATATCAATTCCATAATAAAGAAAACGAAAAAAATCACATTAGATATCAATACAAATTAAAGAACTAGTTATACAGATAATCCAAGAGGCGTCAGTGCATATTTCTTAGCTGCAAATCCAGTGTTTCATCTAAGGATAAAACCTCTAGATATTGAGATTCATCTAACGATAAAAATTTTATTCTATTTTTTTTTTCTCTCTCAAATGAACCCTAGGTTTGTTCTTCATATTCTATATGATCTATATCTTTCTATAGTACCTTTCCAAATTTAAATTCCAAATTTGCTTTTTCTTTCTTTCCTTAAAAAAAATGGTAGGATATGTAAGTGTTATGCCCTAAATACAATCGATTTAGGTTGTAAATATTTTTGATATGTTTAATGTATTTGATTTTGGCAAGATCTATTATTTATTTAAATTAATTTTCTGATAAATAATATTAAATAATAGAGTCCGAAAATTCAAGTTTAAGTAATTTGTTAATCACAAGGAGTTGTGATTGTGAGATACAAATTACGTATGATTGAATCTTGAATAATCCGTGATCGTAAGTAATAACGAGATACGG